CTTTCTTTCTTTCTTTCTTTCTTTCTTTCTTTCTTTCTTTCTTTCTTGTTGTTTTAAAAAAAAAATCTCATTTAATAAAGAGTGACAGAGGAAGACACCCAACAACTTTGGTGTGCTGTATGCATCTGCACACATTAAGGCTCACCTGCATTACGGACGTGTCATACAAAAAAGTCCTGTTTCTATGTCTGTCTCATAGACATAATTTAGATATTGTACTAATGAACTTAAGAAGCTCTGGTTACACGCACAAGGCTTGTACATGATCAGTCAACATTCCAACAGATAACACTAATTGGATTCAGTGGATTACACAAAAAAACATAAGCAGAAAATCACTAATGAGTGTGAATGGCAAGAGGAAATGGAGGTGGATGTGATCAAGTTGTGTATGTAAAAAAAGTTTAAAAGAATGAATACAAAATATATTAAAAGTCTCCCTTTAAGCCAGACATTGGTGGTGCATGCTTTGGTCTAGCACTTGGGAAACAGAGGCAGACAGATTCCGTGACTTTGAGGCCAGCCTGGTCTATGTAATTCTAGTATCTACTAATTTGTTATGTCTTCATAAAAAGCGTTTAAATATATTCATATTTCTTCTCCATATTTAGAGTTGGTCAGAGGGGAGCTGGTCTTTCAGCCACCATTGCTAGGAGTGAGCATGAAATTTCTGAAATTATTGATGGTCTTTCTGAGCAGGAGGTAAGACATCTGATTAATTCAAGTTAATTCTTCTATTATTAAGCATTTCAGCCCTGTAGCCCAGAGGGTAAAGGTTTATCCGTATGTAAAAGAGAATACTTTAGGTAATAGTGTTTGACCTATTCCAGAGACTAAGGTCAACCACTTATGGTTTTAAGTAAATGTGATTAAGATTTTACAAAAATTGTTTTGTCAGCAAGGAGACCTGGGAAGTAGCTCTGAGGGCTGGGAGGTGGTGGTGTTCCTCTTTAATCCTGGCACTTGGGAGCCAAGGCTGGTAGATCTTTGTGCATTCAAGGCCAACTTGGTCTGCAGAGCTAAGTTCCAGGATGGCCAGGATTACACAGAGAAACCCTTTCTCAAAACACAAAAACTAAACTAAGGGTGCATATTAGGGTGCCTGTGGTAGGCATGTATAGGACTGCTGAGAAATGAGACTAGAAGATAGAGTGGGCAAGATGGATGGGCTGAGTGTGGAAGTGATAAGTAAGAGGACTAGAAAGAGCCTTCCATGATATACTGAGCTATTGGTTCCGTTTCCTCTAGTAGTGAAGAAGCTTCTGCTTTGTAGGTTGCAGTATGTTGTCCAAAGGGTGTAGAATATTAACTAGTGGTAACTGCATCAGAATAATCTGCATATAGGGAAATTGTCCCAAGCAAAGATAGTAACACTAAGCAAAATTTCAGGAAAAATGACCACTGTGGGATTGGAAAAACTAACCCAGTGATAGGGCTGGAGAGATGCCTCAGTGGTTAAGTACACTTGCTAATCTTCCAGAGGACCTGAGTTTGGTTCTCAGCACACAGATTGGGTTGCTCACAACTGTATATAATTCCAGTTCCAGGAGATGTGATGTTTCTGACCCTGAGAGGGCACCTGTACTCACATTCACACACACCTCTACACATAGTTTAAACAAACCAAAAAACCCTCTGCTTTAGTGCATTCCTTTAATCCCATAGATGGAATTAGGTTGATCTCTTTGAGCTGGTCTACATGCAAGTTCTGGGTCAGCCAGGACTACTTTGTCTCAGAAAAACAAAACTAAAACAATAAAAAAAATGAGGATTATAGCTGGACATGGTGGCACAAGCTTTTAATACCGTCATGTGGGAGGCAGAGGAAGGGTGATCTCTGTAGAGACACCAGGAAAAAAAAAAATCGGGAGTTGTCAAGTGTAGCCTGGGATATAGATACAGGAAACTCTTGTCTCAAAATAACAGTAGTCTTTTTTTTTTTTTTTTAAATGAAAAACTGCCAAAGCTGTCTACTTTTTCTTGATGTTATAATGCAGAGTTTCTGAAATTGTGATTCAAAAATTTTAAAGTTATGTTTGCTGTGGTTTTCCCCTAAGGATAATTATTTATAGTTGTGTATTTTAAAAAATAAATGCTTTGTATAAATATTTAGATGCATGATTATATATAAGCTTCTAAGTGTAGAGTTCTTTGAAGACGTAAGTATCTAGGTAATGCTTCATTTGAAAACTTAAGTAAGGTAGTTTTAGTCTGAAGTGTTTAGAAATCAGGCATGTAAAATCTATGCCTACGTGTTTTCAGCACATTAACAAGTGAAAAATAGTATATGGAGCTGGAGAGATTTTTCAACAGTTACAAGCACTGTATGCTCTTCCAGAGGACCAGGGTTCAATTCCCAGCATGCACATGGCAGCTCACAACTGTCTGAAACTCCAGTTTCTGGAGATATGACACCTTCACACAGATGTACATTCAGGCTAAATACTACTGCACATAAAATAAAAATAAATAATAAATGTCATGAACCTATCCACCTTAGTCTTTACTAATTTACCAGCACTTTTTTTGTGACTTTTGATTCAAGTTGTAGATTACTATTAAGTTTACTGTGTTGAAGAATGGACCTGGTATTTAAAATTGCTATGATAAGTAAATTATATATATTATCTCACTAAAATAAAATATAAAGGAGAAGTTCTACCTGCCTTTGTTTTACAAATTTAGAAACTAAGACCACATTGCTGTGGGTAGCAGAACCAGGTGGCCATCCTAGTGCATCTTGTTCCAGAGTCCCGTGTTCTTTCCTCTGTCCATTGGATCAAGTCTACTTTTCATAACATATTTTTACAGGTCCCTATTACAAGCTGACCTTTGCTTTAGGCATTGAGATTCAAGTGATGGAGTGAACTATTAAGTTTCTCAATCTTATCAAGTTAAATTACTAGTGAGAAGAGAAAAGATGTTAATTAGTCCATACATACTGCCTGTATTTATTTAATCTATATTTAGAAGCAGTTTGTATGAATTCTTTTCTGGGATGTGAAAGTAGCCTGTTGATATGGAGTGTATATTTGAATTGGTACATGTTTTAAAGTGTTCATTATACCTGTTCATTGTGTGTCATGCTCCTATAACTTATGTGTGACTCCTTGTCACTCGAGCCATGAAGGAGGTAGAAAGTCATAGATTGCTTTTATGTTCTGTCTCAATTCTCAGGACATTGTACCAATTAAAATAGACTTGTGCCATTGCTTTTGTCCTCCTTTCTCACTTCTGATAATGTTTTTTTAAGAAGATCTGAAGTGTCATTTTATCTTTTGGAAAGTGTTTCCTTTCAGGAAGGGTTGTAATAATCAGCCACAGAGATGCGCCCACACTTTACGAGGCACATATTTCCACGCATTGTTACATAATGATCAGTTGTTCTCAGTCCTTTTTAGTTCTCCAACAGTGTTATTAAGCACCTTAGCATCATTTCTGTCGATGATATGAGAGATACACTTTTTTTTCTGCAATGTGTTTCAGTTATATTTGGAATGTTTCCTGAAATCCCATGTACATAATGCATATAATCCTGCATGCTCTTGGTGCAAGTAATATACTTACCTTAAACACAACCATTATTCTATATTGCTTTTACAATAACCTGGAAAATGCATGGTTGACTTTTGAAATTTCTAGCCATAATTTCTCTACTGACTAAATCTGCATTAAATTTCTGTGCTTCCTTTACTCTGGATTCTATTAGCGTACACATGAAAGCATTCCCAAGTTGATTATTAGTTGAATGATTTCAAGCTAATGTGCCAATTCTAAACAGTGGTCTTCTAACTGGTTGAAAGAATATCCTGAAACTAGACACTTAGTAAAACCTTAACAATTTGGGAATATTTTTAGGGGGAAAAAAAACCCTTCATATATTTAATTAAGTACTATAGTTTTATAAGCACTTTTTAAAAAAATGCAAGCTTGTGTTTATAAAAATCTTAATTTGTACTTTGGGGAAAGTCGTATGTGATAGATTAAACCACCTTAAATTGCAATGATAAAAATTTTAAAATTTTAATGTATTATATAATTTAGCTGGTATTTAATATGTGAATTAAATAATTTTAGGTCAGTGACCTTAAGACCTTAATACCTTTGTTGCTTGTTTCTCTCTCTGGAATGATGCTAAAGATTGTTTTCTGTACAACGATGATGAATGGCTGAGGAGACGCCTCAGTGAATAAGTTGATGATCAGACTCTGTAAATGCCAGGTAGTGCTAAAAGGGCACTTGGCAAGACTAACCTGCTTTAGGCAAGCTGTGGGTTCAGGTGATAGACCTTATCTGAATGAATTGGGAAAACTCCCAAAGATGGTCTGTGGCTTCAACATTCATGGACAACTTGTCTTAATGCAAAGGTTTAAAAAAAAAAAAAAAAAAAAAAGGGCTGGAGAGGTGGTCTAGTGGTTAAGAGCGCTGACTGTTCTTCCAGAGGAACAGATTTCAATTCCCAGGACATACATAGCAGTTCACAACTGTCTGTAACTCCAGTCGCAGGAGATCTGACCCCCTCACACAGACACACCAAGGCACATAAAGATAAATAAACATTTTTAAGGGGCTGGAGAGATGGCTCAGAGGTTAAGTGCACTGTTTGCTCTTCCAGAAGTCCTCTGAGTTCAACCACCTGGTGGCTCCTAACCATCTATAGTGAGATCTGGTTCCCTCTTCGGTGGTCAGGTGTACGTGCAGGCAGAACACTATACATAATAAACTAAATCTTAAAAAAATTAAAATGATGTTGAGATTAGTATTTAAATGAGACTATATATTATATATACAATGCAATAGCTAAATGTTTCACTAAATGAGTGCTTCATCATTATATTATTTTGTATCTTATAGATCTAAACTTTTGTTATTTTCCTAACATCAATCTCATTAAGAGATTCTCAGAAAAGTAAAGGATAAGCCAGTAGTGGTAGCTCATACTTATAACCCATCTCAGCATTGAGGGGTGTGGCAGGCGGATTGCAGCAAATCTGAGGCCAGCCTGAGCTATAGAGTTGGCCTGGACTGCAGAATGGAGGTCTGTTCAATAAAGAAAGAAAAGACAGGAAAACAAATAACAACAACAAAAAAACCCCAACAAAACTAATGCAAAAGTAGTAGATTTTTTTTTCAGTTGATGAATTCTCTTGTCTGTGTAATTTATATAATTCAATGTAAATGTGTTAGAAATAAGTAATCATATGACATGCTGTGATAAATGGCATTATTGTTATTAAGTTACAGTTACTTTTTTAACTGTTAAAAGTCTATAGCATTTTAAAGTTTCTAATTTAAATGTTATCCTAACTAAACTGCATTTATTTTTTGCAGAATAATGAGAAACAAATGCGGCAGCTTTCTGTGATTCCACCTATGATGTTTGATGCAGAGCAAAGAAGGGTCAAGTTCATCAATATGAATGGGCTTATGGAGGATCCTATGAAGGTTTATAAAGATAGGCAGTTCATGAATGTTTGGACTGACCATGAAAAGGAGATCTTCAAGGACAAGTAATTTAACTGTTAAATTATTCTTTAATAAAAGTTTGTTAGTAAAATTGTTTGGTATTTACTTGAGAGTGAACTATTTCTACAAAACTTTTATTCCAATTTGGCATTGGAGTAGATACTGTGAAAAATAGATAAATTTATTATCTTTGAAATTTGTAGGTGGGATAATGGTTAACAGATAAGAAATGGACACTTAGAGTCGTTTTAAAAAAGATTCCTAACCTTGGGTACTATTCAGACTACTTTTGGGAGGTTGTTATAAGATAGATTTCTGTGCCTTACAATAATCATAGATTCAAGTAAGCAGTTCCCTTTAAAAATTTAGAATCAACAGAGTGTGGTGGTGCATGCATTTAATACCAGCACTCCAGAGACAGAGGCAGAGGCAGGTGGACTTTTGATTTTGGTGCCAGCCTGGTCTACATAGTATGTTTCAGGACAACCAGGGCTACATAGTGAGACTCTGTCTCAAAAAACAAACAAAGGGAATGGAATTTAAATCTTCCCTTTGAAAACTGCCATTTAACAATTCTCTAGTGATTGTATGGTTGTTAGTGGGAAGTGACGAGTCACTTTGAATTAGGCTGGACATAATTCTTCCTGTTTTTTCTTATTTTGTTAAAACATTTGAATGTGTATATATTCTTAATATTTATATTTATCTTGGATAATTTTATGAATGCATATAATTTTATATTTACCCATTCCTTTTTATTATCCTCATCTTCCTCTTAACTTCTTCCTAACAAATCTACTTTCTACTTTCAGGTTTGTTTTAAAACAATTATGACCTAATGAGTTGGCCATGAGGTTATTTACTAAAGCACTGTTAATTAATTACTTAACAGAAGAAAAATAGCTTTCCTTCCATTAAATGCCAGTAGCTACTCAACTGGGATTGGGTCTCAAGAGCCCCTGTTCCTTCCATGCTGGAATGTGGAAGGGACTTGATATGGCACAGGTCTTATACTTTTGAGTTTATGAGTACAGTGGTGATATCCTCTCTGGAAGACAGCATTTCACAGCATTCCTTTCCATCTCTGTCTCTTACATCTTTTATGCATCCCTCTCCTTTGGTTTTCTGAGCCTCTGGGGGCAAATCTAGGATGTTATAGAAATCCTCTTTAGGGACGAGTGATGTACATTAATACTGTTTTTGTTTTTAAACACAGGTTTATCCAGCATCCGAAAAACTTTGGCCTGATTGCATCCTACTTGGAAAGGAAGGTATGAGAAAGCTTACATGGAGGGAGGTCTTTTTGGCTTGTGGTGTCTTTAGATATTTTTGTGTTCTAACAAGCATCAGTGGAGGTACTTGCCTTTAAACTCAGCATGCGAGAGACAAAAGGCTGCCCTGGTCTACATAGTGTGTTCTAGGCTAGCCAGCCACAACTACATGGTTGAGACCATGTCTTGAAACAGAAGAAACAGAAGTCTTTAAAGAAATATGTTAAGTTCCTGGCAATAGTGGTGTACTCTGGAGGCAGAGGCAGGAGAATCTCTGAGTTCAAGAACATCCAGGTCTGCAGTGCAAGCGATAGGACAGCCAGAGCAGCACAGAGAACCCTGTCTAGGAAAAAACAAAACAAAACAAAACAAAGTTTTCCTTTCTTAGTATTCATTTCTTTATTTTATGTATATGAGTGCTCAATCTGCATGCACACCTGCAGGCCAGATGGCATCAGATCCCAGTTGTGAGCCACCATGTAGTTTCTGGTAATTGAACTCAGGACATCTGGAAGAACAGACAATGCTCTTAACCGTTGAATCATCTCTTCAGGCCCAAAAATGTAGTTTTTAACAGAGAACCAAAAGCAATTTTCATCATTTGTCAAAAATGATCTAATGTCTTTTCCCAAAGAATACATTTTTTATGTTGAGTTTTTTTTATAGTCATTAGCTCTCTGGTTAAAATAGTCCTGGTTGAAAGGTGGTGGTGCACACCCTTAATGCTAGCACTTGGGAGGCAGCGGAGAGTTCCAGGATAGCCAGGGCTGCACAGAGATAGCCTCTGGCGGGTCTGGGAGGGGAGCCATCCTGATTTCCTTTCTCTCTCTCTCTCTCTCTCTCTCTCTCTCTCTCTCTCTCTCTCTGTATTTTTAGTCAAGTAGCTTTAATGTTTTTTGAGTTCTTACTTATATAGTAGCAAGAGAATGTATTGCTAGTTAGTAAGAGTACATTTCTGTTGGAGCTTTGTATCTTTAGCATAATTTGGATTAAGGCAACTGTAGATATTCTGTATAGTAGTTCCCTGTTGACTTTCTAGCCTAGATATGCTTAAACTTATGGCCATGTGGTTTTGTTTTTAATTTATGATTTGGTTACACTAGAAAAAAATTTTAAAAATACTTTATATTTGAACATGAAATGAATACAGGAAATATAAAAATGCTTAAATATTTGTATTAAAAAAATTAAATTTTTTTTTTATTACAGAGTGTGCCTGACTGTGTTTTATATTACTATTTAACCAAGAAAAATGAGAATTATAAAGCCCTAGTGAGAAGGAATTATGGAAAACGCAGAGGCAGAAATCAGGTATGTTACTTTACTAAAGAAATGTTTCAAAGTTGCTGGACATATGAAAACAAAAGAATATTCAGACAGGTCTTACTTGCAATCCACAATTAAAAATATGCTTGGGTTGGAGAGAGGTTAAGAGTACAAACTGTTCTTACAGAGTTATATTGTTTTATTGTCAGCACCCACATGTGCCTGCTTACATCCACGCATTAAGACTAACTCTGGAAGATTGGATCCCTCTGCCTACCTCCATGGGCATCTGTACTATCATGTACATGTCTACACACACAGAAACACATACAGAAACACACATTAAAAATAAAAGGCCAACTAGTAATATTATTTCATGTAAGAGCACTTAATGCTCTTGCAGAGGATAGAGTTTGGCTTCTAGCACCCTGTTTCAGGTGGCTCACAACTGCCTGTGACTCTGACTCAGGGTACCTGATATCTACACTTTTCTGGTGTCCTTGGGAGCACCTGTATACACAGAAAAATAGACTCATCCACACACAAATCTTTATTATCATCATCGTAAAGAAGGAAGAATTTGTTTTGTTTGGATATGCTGTAACTCTCAACACACCTAGTAAGTATGTCACCATGAAAATAACATGCAGTTAGAATTTTTATGTTGACTGTTTGTGACTGTTGCTGCCAGACATGTCACTATTAAATAACACTTAGTTTCCTTTCTCATGATTTTGCTAACACACACAGTTTCCATAATGATACTAACAGATAAACATCACTGTTGTCACCCATAAATGCAAAAACCCTGGTTCTAAGTATAAATCCATAGAACAAGTGTTGATACTATTTTTTCCTACCTTTACATTAGTATATTCTGATCTCTGAAAGTATTCAGAAACATTTATCATTTAGTAATTTTGAAGTTGGAAGTATTTTTTCTCTAAACTGTTAAGTTACCAATAGTTAGGAAGAATGCTTTTGAGTATAATGCCAAGAGCTTTATATGTTTACATGTTCTATAAATTTGTACTTAGAACCTTGGTTTTTGCATCTGTGGTGATAACAGTGATGTTTATTTGTTGTGGAAACTCTGTGTTGGCAAAGTCTTCAGAGTACATTGGAAAGTACGGAAGGAGTGCTCAATAAATAGAAGCTGCTGTTGTCTTTACTGCCCTCACCATTGTGTATTTAGTTGATGGATAGCTTTCACTCTCTGGAAAGTTAATCTAAAATTTAGTTTCTTAAAAGGCATCAATTATTAATATATTATGACAAGATAGGCTTAAGAGATTTTTAGTTTATTTCCTGAGTACCTTTTAAAAGAAAACGTGCCTGTTTGCTGCATGCATTTTTTTCTGCCCCCTTTACACTGTCAAATTACTCAGTTTTGTTCCTAGACAACTCAAAGTGTCTACCAAATGGAGGAATTTATTAATTTCACTATTTTATTAACGTATTTTGTTTTGTTTTATTTTTTATTTAAAAATTTTTGTTTGTTTTTGAGACAGTATTTCTCTGTGTAGCTCTAGCTGTATTGTAACCTACTCTGTAGACCAGGCGAGGCTTGAACTAGAACAGAGATCCACCTGCCTCTACGCCCTGAGTCCTGGGAATAAAGATGTATGCCGCCACCACCTGACATGATTTGAGGATTTTGGGCGTCACAATGTATATGTAGGTGTTCGGGATACAGTGAGATACCGCAGTGAGGAGTCTACCTCAGTTGTTGCTTGGCACTGCTCTCAGGTTGCCCAGGCAGTATTCACACTGAGTACAGATTCCTTTTACTTTTCCAACTTAAATCTTATCTTGCTCGTTCATCTGTAGTGAGCATCTTATTTCATGCTAGGATGACATGCCCAGCTGAATGAAAATTGCTCTGTTGACTCTGAACAAACTGACACCTTTGTTAAAAATTAAGTGGTGGTAGGTTCTATGAATTTGGGCTCTATATTTTATTGGTTCACATGTGAATTTTTGTTACTGTGGCTCTGTTGTATAATTTGAGCTCAGATTTTGAAACTTCTGGCATTCTCATTTGGCCTTTTGTGTTTTCATATAAACTGTATGTAAGATTTTCTATTCTTCCTTTATAAAGAATATCATTTGGACTTGGGCAGTGGTAAACACCTTCATTTCCCAGCAGTCTGGAGGCAGAGGCAGCCAACTCTCTGAGTATGAAGCCAGCCTGGTCTGCAGAGTGATTTGGAGGATCGTTAGGGCTATACATAGAAACCCTGTCTCAAAAAAAAAAAAAAAAACCAAAACCAAACAGAACAAAAAAACCTCATTGGAGTTTTGATGGAATTTTGTCATTAACATTGCATTTTTACCTATTAATTTGTACAATCTTTGAAAACAGAAGGTTTTTCTAGTTTTGTTTGTACTATGTTAACATTTTCATTGTAGAGTTTCCTTCATTTTCCTTATTTGGTTTATTTTTTTGTGTCATCCCCCATCTATTGTAAATGGGATTTCCCACTTAATATTGTTTTGAGTGAATATTATAATTTGTAATACAGTTAGAAGAATGATTTACTTTTGTATCTCATAAATAATGCTTTGTTCTAGCAGCAGATTACCCGTCCCTCACAAGAAGAAAAAGTAGAAGAAAAAGAAGAGGATAAAGCAGAAAAAACAGAGAAAAAGGAAGAAGAGAAGAAGGATGATGAAGAAAAAGATGAGAAGGAAGATTCTAAGTGAGTTGAGCAGTTAGATATGTGTTATAATTATTTTCAGATCTGAAATTGCATTTAGTAGAGGTGTAAAAGATGTGGTAAGAGTTCATGGGAATATATATGGTTTAATTATCAGTTTCTTGGCATGATTAATAATGACAGAGAAACACTTAATGCTCAGCGTCCTTAGTCATTAGGGAAATGCAAATCAAAACAACTCTGAGATTTCACCTTACACCCATCAGAATGGCTAAGATCAAAAACTCAAGTGACAATACATGCTGGAGAGGATTTGGAGAAAGGGGAACCCTCCTCCACTGCTGGTGGGAATGTAAACTGGTACAGCCACTTTGGAAATCAATCTGGCACTTTCTCAGACAAATAGGAATAGTGTTACCTTAAGATCCAGCTATACCACTCCTAGGCATATATTCAAAATATGCTCAAGTACATAACAAGGACATTTGCTCAGCCATGTTCGTGGCAGCTCTATTCATAATAGCCAGAATCTGGAAACAACCCAGATGTCCCTCAGTGAAGGAATGGATACAGAAAATGTGGTACATTTACACAGTGGAATACTACTCAGCAATTAAAAACAAGGAAATCATGAAATTTGCATACAAATGGTGGGAACTAAAAAAGATCATCTTGAGTGAGGTATCCCAGAAGCAGAAAGACACACATGGTATATACTCACTTATAAATGGATATTAGACACATAATATAGGATAAACATACTAAAATCTGTACACCTAAAGAAGCTAAGAAATAAGGAGGACCCCGGGTAAGACAATCAATCCTCACTCAGAAATGCAAACGGGAAAGACATCAGAAGGGGGAGAAAACAGGGAACAGGACAGGAGCCTACCACAGAGGGGACCTCTGAAAGACTCTACCGAGCAGGGTATCAAAGCAGATGCTGAAACTCATAGCCATACTTTGGGCAGAGTGCAGAGAATTTTATGAAAGAAAGAGGAGATAGAAAGACCTGGAGGGGACAGGAGCTTCACAAGGAGAGCAACAGAAACAACAAATCTGGGCCCTGGGGTCTTTTCTAAGACTGATACTCCCAACCAAGGGCCATGTATGGAGTTAACCTAGAACCCCTGCACAGATGTAGCCCATGGCGGCTCAGTGTCCAAGTGGGTTCCCTGGTAAGGGAAACAGGAGCTGTCTCTACTAGAGCTCAGTGGCTGGCTCTTTGATCACCTCCCCCTTAGGGGGAAGCAGTCTTACCAGGTCACAGAGGAAGACAATGCAGCCAATCCTGATGAGACCTGATAGGTGAGGGTCAGATGGAAGGGGAGGAGGACTTCCCCTATCAGTGGACTTGGAGAGGGCCATGGGAGGAGATGAGGGAGGGTGGCATTGGGAGGGAATAAGGAAAGGGGCTACAGCTGGGATACAAAGTGAATAAGCTGCAATTAACATAAAAAAAAGGGAGAGGAGAAAAAAAAAAAAAAAAAAGAAATGTAATATTAGCCAGATGGTGGAGGTGTACACCTTTAATCCTAATACTTGGGAGGTAGAGGTAGGTGGATCTCTATCAGTTTAAGGCCAGCCTGTTTTTCAGAATGAGTTCCAGCCAAGGCTACACAGAGAAACCCTGTCTTGAAAAACTACTGACCAACCAACCAAACAGAAAAAAGGATTTAAAAAAAAAAAAAATAAAGAAATGGAATATTTTAGTAAACTGAATGTTTGACTTAATGGCCCTATTTGCCAGGGATGTTACTTTATGCATGCATGCACACATGCACACAGACCCTTTATATGTATAAAACATAGGGTCTTGATGTGTAGCTTTCTTTGGCTGGTCTGAAACTTACTATTTAGACAAGGTTTCCCTCAAACTTGTGGCAGTTCTTCTGCCTTTCTCTTGTTAGTGCTGGAATTACCGGACCTCAATCATGGCTGGTTCAGATTCTGCTATTCTAAGCTATATGCTGCAATAGTTTATAGTTATCACCAAGATATTCTGAGTGTAATTTAGTCTTTGATTTGGGAAAATCTTCAAGTTTCTTTTTCAGCCTCTAGATAGTATAATGATGCTGAGAAAGTAATAGTTTTAAATCTATGTATACATACTTACTGATTTTATGTTGTTTTTTGTGTTTTCTTGTTCATAGTAATAATTATTTTTCATTATGAAAAACTGGGAAAAGAAAGCCAAAATCTAATGTATAACTGTTGTTTTTTTCTGATCAGTTGCTGTCAGTGTTGGTGCTTTTATATTCTCATAAGAGCAGCCTGGGGAAGAAGCTTTAGGAGCCAAGTTGTTTTCCCCAGTGACTAAAACTCACCCATTTCAGTGTTTGTGCTGGTGTGAGACGTCTGTTCAGCAGTCACCTATGTGTGTGCTGATATGGTTAAACACACCTGTGTACTCATGTGTAATGACGATACAGTCTTTTGTCTTTTTTCTTTTTTTAATTTTTGAGAAGGGTTCTCTGTGTCGCCCTGGCTGCCTGGGAACTCATTCTATAGACCAGGCCGTCCTCAAACTCAAAAGAGATACGCCTGTGTGCCTTCTGAATACTAGAATTAAAGGTGTACATCACCACCACTCAGCTTTCTTAGGTTTCTTTTTAGTCAGGCACCCATTCTTAGTTTCTGATTAATAGTGTTCTAGAACTAAGTATAAATGGAACCAGCTTTCCTTCACTATTAAAACACCTCATAATCAGCTTAGAAATAAGAAAATGTTTGCTTTTGTCTTATAACTTTAAAAGTATCAGTCTGATAAGATTGGTTCTATTAGTCATTCAAAGGAAGTAAGAAAGGGAATAAAGAGAGAGAAAAAGAGATCTTTCAATATTTCCTTCATGGCACCAGTGACAGAAAGACCTACTGAGTTCTATCTCTTTAAAGCTCCAGCACTTCTAAACAGCATCATTTAGGACCAAGTCTTTAACACTTAAACTTTTGCCGGACATTTAAAGGCCAGACTCCACCAAATGTGTAGTCTGTATGACTTCTTTTACTTAGCACAAGTAGAAGAATGCATTTTTGAGATTTATCTTGGCCATTGCATATTATAGAAGTTTGTGCCTGTAAAAGTCTTTATTGTGCTATTTACATAGACTTTGTGGAAATAAATTTTGCCTTTGTTTTGTTTCTGCCATTTAATATCATGTAAGTCACTTGTATGGTTCTGAAAGAAAATGGACTGGATAGGATCAGCAGTTACCAACACTGGCTGCTCTTGCAGAGGACTCACATTTTATTCCCAGCACCCACATGGTAGCTCAGAAATTTTGTAACTTCAGTCCCAGGGGATCTGATGCCCTCTTCTGTCATTTTCCTGTACCAGGAATACACATGGTTCATAGACAGTAATCCATGCAGGTTGAACACATTCACATGAATAAATAAAATATGAACTAAGAGTCAGGCATTCTTGCTTTTTTACCTTAAGATACTTATAGAGAAACAAAAACAAAATTATGTTTTTTGATGTAGGGTCAACATTTTTGGACCATATAGTCTGTGCTTCTTTTCATAAAGAAATGTATTTTTTTAATATATTTTTGTTTGATTTACTTTTTTGTAAAACCACTTGAAGGTGACTCTATTTAAGTTACTCAGTATACACTGAGTATATACACTCATAGGTAATAGTATGTGATTTAGGTCTTAGGATGAAAAAGATACATAGGATATGTCCTATTTTCAGGTAGTTTGTAATTAAGGAGGCAAGATAACAAGCAGGATTTAAAGCAAAAGCTTGAAAATGCAGAAAGAGCAGAACATGGAGACTTGTTTGAAGACACAGACATGGGTGACTAGCAAGGTGAGGAGCTCATAGCTAAAGTGGTAGTAGTACCCATATGAACAGCTGCACTGAGAACAAGGCAATGACTTCATTAGACTGAAGGGAAGAAGTGGAACGTAGATTGCCTTTGGATTTATTAGGTAGAACATTAGCAAAAGCTGACACGTTACATTTCATTCAGAAGATGGTGAGCTTGTCTGGATAGGTAGGGAGGAGAATAGGATGAGTAGTTTGTTCATTTATTATCTACTTATTTATTTTTCTGCTTTTGAGACGGAGTCCTACATAGCCATGGCTGTTCTGGAATTTACTATGTAGACCATGCTGGTCCACAGAATCTGCCTGCCTCTCTGTCCTCTGAATGCTGCGGTTAAAGGCATGTCCTACCTATTTCTGCTGCTTATTTATTTTTATGACGGCCATTAGTTTGTAGCACAGGCTGGCCTTGAACTCAAGATCTTCTTGACTCAAGCCTCCCAAGTACTGGATTACAAGAGGATCCAGCATGCTCATCTTTGGAGTGGCTCATTGCTATGGCAGAGTTAACTCTGTGCCTTTCTAACTTACACTGTGATAGAGTCATTCTTGAAGCATGCATATATTGGGAGAGATCTATAGCTTTATTAGCCTCAACTGGCTTTTACTTGACATACTTAAATTGTGAAAATAAACAGTATCTGCCACTAATAACTGAGTCTTGCAGGTGTGTACTTTAAAAAATACACATACTCATTCTTTGTATGTGTTTGAACATATTCACATCCATCTAAATCCTTTCAGCTACAAAGTACTGTAACTATTTTCAGATATTTTTAAATATAACAAGTGTCATCAGTAGTACAGAGAATGGCATTCAGATAGTCAGATATTTCTTATAATAATAATACTCTTAGTAATATTCACCATGAATTAAGTTTTATTAAGTACTTAATAGTGTAAGAAATTCTTTACAGATTGAGAGAATTTTTTTTAATAATAATAATAATATATGATATTCTAGGCATCTTATTACCTTCTTTAATACTTGCAATCACTCTGTGAAATATATTACTACTGTCCTTACCTTACAGGAGAACCGAGGTTCACAGAGGCAAGGTAACTTTTTCCAGGTTATGCAAGTCACAGAACTCAGAGAACCTGACTTAACAACCCTGAAGCCATACTGCTTTGTTGTACATTATCACTTATGGAAATAGCTCTGAACACTGACTCTGGTTTCATAAAATTGTATTGTGGATTATTACTACAGAATAGGCATCTGTCAGGAAGTTTTATCTGTTTTAACTTCATTGTATAGAATAAACTTCAACAGAATTTAAGCCAAAGAAAAAAATCTGAGACCTTTGCCTTTGCTAAAGTGTTTCTTCTGCTGCTCCAGGTCTAGGTAGTTCTACTGTCATTTGATATTTTCTTATGGGTTCTTGGTTTTTAAGTTAATTAATATGTAATGTGTTTAAAATTTATGTCTATTAATATGTGATGCAAGTTTTCTGAAGTGTCTTGAATTAGTCAAAGCTGTTGAAAAATCTTCCATGATAGAATTTTTCCTGAAAGTTTCAAAAGTAAAAGATTGGATAAATGCATACAGTTTCTATTCAAAGAATCTTCCTGGCTGTATCTTTACTTTTAAATTAGAAAAGCTTTTATTTGTTTTTGTTTGTAGAGAAACAACCAAGGAAAAGGACAGAACAGAAGGCACAACAGAAGAAACTGAGGAGAGGGAGCAGGCCACTCCGAGGGGTCGGAAGACTGCTAACAGCCAGGGGCGCCGGAAGGGTCGGATCACCAGGTCCATGACTAGTGAAGCTGCAGCTGCTAGTGCTGCTGCTGCAGCCACTGAAGATCCCCCTCCACAGCTGCCACCACCAGAGCCCAGTTAGTAGAAGAGGTTGCTTTGTGCAGGGTGTAATCGTGTCAGGGTTCGGTTTGAGTGATGGTAAAGTAGGGCAGGGCCTGCCCGTATTGATATCCAGGAAGTGATCTTAAAGTCTGCTCTTTAATTTAGTAAATTTGAAAGTAAAATTCTTTTGAAAAAGAATAGTAGTTACAATGTAGCTTTTCTTTCATTAGTTAATATACCACTTTATTCTATAACTTTTTATTTGGCATATAACATAGATATTTTCTATTTTTCACATTAAAATTTTATTTATGTATGTGCATGTGTCTGTGTGAATGGACGTACAGAAGTCCAAGGACTGTTTTCATGATTGAACTCAGGTTGGCAGGGTTACAGCATAGGTGTCTTTATCTGCTGAGCAATCTTGCTGGTCCAGTTCTATAGTTTAAAAAAAAAAAAAAAAGATTTTAACGAACAGTTCTGTAATGTCACTGTATTCCTCCTGTCTTTAGGAATTTTTTAGAGATTATTTTTATTATATGTATGGGTATTTTACCTGCATGTCAATGTACTATGTGCATTCTCCTACTTTTGGAAAACACAAAAGGGTGTTGGATTCCCTAGAACCTTAAAGACAGTTATGAGCTGCCATGTAGCTGTGAGGAATTAAACCCCTGTCCTCTGTAAGAGCAGTTACTGCTCTTACCTTCTAAGCCATCTCTCTACCCCCCTGCTTTATAATTTCAAAGTATTCATAATTTCTATTCATTCTTTAAATGCCTATGCTGTATTAATACTTTGCTTCTGAAGCATGACTTACATAAATATTTCCCTACTGCTGAGTGGTTAGACTGCGTCTTTCCTCCTTTTTAAACCAGTATGGACAGCACTGTAATGTCCTACACTAAATACTTTCTGCTAAATTAAGGAATAAATATTTAGGCAAGACATACTGGGCTGAAGAATATAACTATATGTATATATGTATATATGTATATATATTTAAATATTGTCACATTATTCTTTGAAAGGATTTTATTAGTGATGAAGTGCTCCTATCTATGATTCACCACAAAATGAGGTAGGAAAAACAATGCATATCGTGCAAATGGCAAACATGATGCATTGTATCCAAGTAACTGAGAGGATGAAAATGGGCCAGGCCACATCATGGTGGACTTGTTTTCTCTTGAATTGTTTCTTCCTTCACTGCAAAGTAGAGAGCTTGCAGAGGGCTTTTAATAACTGAGTGCCCTGTTTAGGTTATATAGAAAGATGATTCTGGTGGCTCAGGAAGGAGAGGCTCTGTGCTCCTTGGTCATTTTAGGAGCAGAGAAGAGAGGTTTGTTAAGCTGAGAGGTGGACTTTCTTTCACCACACATGTGGACAAAGGTTGAACACCAGAGAATATTGAGAAAGACCTTGACACTAAGTGTGGAATTTTTTCGTCTTAAAAGGCTCTTACTGTCTAATTTTATACAAGAAAAATAAGCTATCAGTTACCTGATTTTTTGAAGGGATAGTTCAAATTTGGATTTCTTTTTCCTGAGTTTTCTCTTTATTTCAGTTTCTACTGAGCCTGTTGAGACCTCGAGATGGACAGAAGAAGAAATGGAAGTTGCTAAAAAAGGTAATATACAACAGTGTGTGAAGTTTGAACTTAATATTTGCTTTTTTTTTTTCTTCTTTATTTTTAAGATTGGTAATGAATGAAATCAAACTAAAATTTTGCTTCTGAAGCAAATTACAATTAGTTGAAATGAGAGACTGCTCAGAGTATTGCTTAGTCTTCCAAAGGACCAAGTTTCAGTTCCCAGCACCCACATGGTGCCTCATAATCCTATGTAATTCCAGTATTCAGGGGATCCAATTCTCTCTTCTGGGTTCTGTGGACATCAGGAATGCACATGTGTTCAGACTTATAAGGAGGTAAAGAAACCCCAAACACACAATGTGCACACCTGAGTGCCAGTACAGAACACGCACACACAGACCAGCTCAACATTGGTTACTTAGGTTCAGGTCAATCTAGGCTGTGTAACAAGACCCGTCTATACCCTCAAAAAGTTTTCTAGAAAGGTAAATAGAACTTTGAAGCAAATTTAAGAATATATATGATAATTAGCTCCAGTGTAGTTGAAGATACATATGTTTGAAGAATTTATGATTCTCTCAGCAGTTTTATTTTGATTATCATTGGAGAACGGAGAATTATTTTCACATTTCCACAGTAGCTGTAATTACCTGTGTTAGAAATTATTTAGGGTTAAATTATGAGTTTTAGATCTATCTTTCCATTCTTTACAAGTTGCATTAAACAGAATGGAGGTTAGTTCCTTGTTTTCTATTTGATTTAGTCTTCCTTTTAATGATTGGTTAAACAGAATGGAGGTTAGTTCCTTGTTTTCTATTTGATGTAGTCTTTTAATGATTGGTTTTTTTTAGTATGTGTTGTGCATGACACATGTAGTGAATGCTATGTGAAGGTTGCAGGAATTCCATTCTCTCCCTCCATCTTCCTTTTGAGGCAGGGGCTCTTTGTTGTGTTTTTTCTACACTGCATTGATAGGCTCCCAACCAATTCTGGTTTTGCCCCATTCCCCACCTCCTACACTCACACAGGAGTGTGGCCTTCTGAGGTATGTGCTACTGCATCTGGCTTTGTATGTGGTGTCTAGGGTTCAATCTCGGGTCATTAGGCTGGTTCAGCAAACACTGGGCCTTCTGCCTGAACCTAGTTAATTATATACCACCAAAGAAAATGTGTCAGGGGTGAGATTGCAAAGTTTGTGGCCAAGCAAACAATAATTTCAGTCCTGTATCTGCTACTTTAAAAGTTCAGTGGTCTTTATTGCACTGCAGCACTTTATAGACTTTGCTTTTCCACATTGTTTACTAGTGCAATGTAATGTGAATGTGAACTGAAATTTCTTTTTTTTTTTTTTGACATCTTGGTGATCCCTTTATTTTCCTCAAATTTTGACCGCAAGTACAGTGTAAATCTCATATACATCCATCCATCCATATATATATATATATATATATATCATGATTTATGCACACTTGTGATTACACCACACGTACACACATTAGTTGTTGAGATTGTAATATCACATCATTTGCACCTTCCCTTTCATCTCTCCAAACCCTCTCATATATTCTGACTTGCGCTCTATCAAATTCATAGCTTCTTTTTTCTTTCATTGTTGTTTAGTGCATACATGTGTGTATATAAGAGATGTTCTGGCTTCTTGTGGAGGGGGAGTGCTACATTAGAACGAGGTGAGATAGATGGGTATGCAGTGCTGGATGGTGAAAGCCTGTCTGCTTTTTTTTTTTTATCTCTGGAAGTCTCCAAGATTCTGAAAACACGATGAGATATTTCATTATTGGGCTCTTTACCTGCTCTATCCTCGACATAGTAGATCTATGGGCTGTGAACCTGAATCTTTCAGCTTGGGGGTTTTCTTTCTTTACTGTCCATGTACCCATTTTTGGATGTTGACTTCTCAGGCTGATGCTCTAATGCTGTGCACTTGCTCTTCTAGTTTTTGTATTTCTTTTTGTCCTGTGTTCTGGGAGATAGTCTTAATGTTCTAGTCTATTTTTTCTTTTTAATTTTTATTTTTTTAGAACTGAAATTTCTTATAGGTTAAATAGAAATTTACAGAAAGATAATCAACACTATTTATCTTATACTTTTTAAAAGAAGTTATTATATGTAGCCTAGCCATCCATTTGTTGACTTGTTTGATACTAATCTACTCACTATTTATTGGATAAGGAATACTACTTCTTTTTTCTTTTTTTTTTCTTTTGGAGATAAGGTTTCTTAATATAGAACCGGGCTGTCCTGGAGTTGGCTTTCTAGACTAGGCTGGCCTTGAACTCACAGAGATTGCCTTGCCTCTCCCTCCCAAGTGCTGGGACATATGTACAGGTGTACATGTAGAGGCCAGAGCAAATCTTAGGGTTTTTTAAAGGAACTGTATGCCTTGGTTTTTTTTTTTTATCTTTTAAATTCTTTTATTTATTGTTAATATATATGTATGTGTGTTGTAGATGGATGGGTGTTATGGAGTGGTGTATATGTTGAGCTCAGAGGACAATTTTGGTGGAACTTGTTCTTCTCTTCCATCTTTGCATGGTTCCATGATTGAATGAGGCTTTTAAAGCTTGTCGGACAAGCTGATTACTAGCTGAGCCATCTTGGCAGCCTGTATACCTTGATTTTTGAGACAGTCTTTCACTGTTTCACTGTGACCCGGGGCTCACCAATTAGGCTTGACTGGCTTGGTTAGTGATCCCCAAGGTTGTCCAGTCTCTCCCCAGTATTGGGATTATAAACATGTACCACCAGAAACAACTCATCCATCATCTGTCTGTCTGTCTGTCTATATATCTATCTGTCATCTATAATTGTTGTTATTCTTTGTGTGTGAATGTGTGCCCACTTGTGCCCATGTATGGAGGTCAGAGGACAACATTTTGGGACTCAGTTCTTACACGTTTATTTTGAAGCAGTCTTAAGAAAAAAATTTTTTATATACATTTGGTGTTTGCCATACATATCTGCTTGTTTGAGGGAGTCAGATCTGCTGAGATTTGAGTTACGGACAGTTGTGAGCTGCCATGTGTGGGTGCTGGGAATTGAATCAGTGTCCTCTTAAGAGCATCCAATGCTCTTAACCACTGAGTCATCTCTCCAGCCCTGAACCAGTCTTTCTTGTTCATGTTGCTGTGTTTCCTACTCAGGCTACCTTACTGTCTTCCAACTGTCTATCAGAGTGCTGGAATATCTAGCATTTTATGTGGGTTCTAGGATTGAATTCAGATTGTTAGGCCTGCAGTATGAACAGTTTCACCTACTGAGCCATCTCCCTAGCCCGATACCCACTTTCATGTGGTTGTCCGCATTTAAGTACAACTTCTTTGCTTGTGCTGCACGTGCTATCTGATGGACTTATCCTTCCAGCCCCTAATTTTCTTTCTTTGTGTGTGTGTTTTGATTTTGAAACAATGTATTATGTAGCCAAAAACCTGATCTTGAGCTGTGTCCTCTTGTGTCGGCCTTCCATGTACTAGAATTACAGGCAAAAGCCACCATACCTGGCTGATCTTCGTCTTCTCATTATAAAGGGAGCTACTTATAGTAACCTTCAAAATCTGTGTTTATCTATTTGTTATGTACCTAATTTTATATAGCTTTTTCACTCCATGAAATTTCATATTTGTATTGTTTGGACACATGTATGTGCTTGCATATAATTAGTGTGTATGTATGATTAGAAAAATATTAAATATTAAATATTTATTGTAGGTTGAAACCAGGGCCTTATATGTATTAGGCAAATGCCTTAACCCTGAGATTTCCCAGCCCTTTTAATGGTTAATTTTTTAAAAGTTGTTTGTGTATTTACTAACAACAAGGTTGTTTATAAGTTTCATATACATTGAATAATTTATATTGACTTATGATTACAATAATATCTTTAAGGATCTAGAAATACCAGTTAGTTTGCAAGTACTGTAGATCTAGATTTACCCTTATTCCTGTGTGAGATCTATGCAAAGGATAAGGTTTAGCCAGCCTGTGTTAAATTTTGGGAGATGTAAGTATAAGTGAGTTTTGAACCAGTAAGTATTGAAGTATATTAACAAATACCTGAAAGTATACTTTTAACATTGTCAGTTTAATGTCAGTAGTTAAGTTGCTTTAATATTTTTCTTGTGTGCTTAAACATACGATTGATTACTTAATGTTTGATCTGTTATGCAGGCCTGGTAGAACATGGTCGTAACTGGGCAGCCATTGCCAAGATGGTGGGAACTAAAAGTGAAGCCCAGTGTAAAAACTTCTATTTTAACTATAAAAGGCGGCACAATCTTGACAGCCTTTTGCAGCAACATAAACAGAAAGTGAGTAGGGCAGTAGTGGTAAGTCTTTTCCTTATCAGTTTTTAATTAAAAGTGGTTTGATCCCCAGGACCCACATATTGGAAAGAGAGGACTGACCTTTGGCTTCCATACCTATGATGTATATGGACATGCACACACACCTTGTCTCTTACAATAAATTAAAATACAATTGTTAGAAACCTTCTCAGTCTAATCATTTTAGTTACAAAGACTTCAGTTGTTTACTTACTAATCTTTTTCAAGAAGATCTCAAGAACACATTGCATAATTTCAAGATTTGAGAACTCTTAGCATAACATAATTTTAAAGATAGACCATTTTAGTTTACCAAAAACAAAGTTTGCCCTCATTAACCATAAAAGAAATGGAAAAGTAGTAGCAAGAATTATTTGCTGCCTATGCAGTTGTATAACTCTTTACTATTTATTGTACCGTTAATAATATCAAGCATTGAAAATTACTCAAGCTTGGTGTGTTTGCGCACTCCTTTAATCCTAGCACTCTGGAGGCAGAGGCAGGTGCATCTCTGAGTTTGAGGCCAGCTTGGTCTACAGAGCAAGTTCCAAGACAGCCAGAGGTATGCAAAGAAACTCTGTCTTGAAAACCAAAAAATTAAAAAGAAAGAAAGAAAATTACTTTAGTTTTAATTGCACTTTAATTTTAATTGTACATTAATGAAAATATTTTATAGAATCATTCATAGAAAAAGTTTTAAAGACTATCGCAGGAAACCTTCAGTGTATTTTGAAAACTCGGGTTTTAAAGTAGAATGTGTAAATACGTGCAGTTACGCGTGCTCTTTAGGCGCATACAGTGACGTACATATGTGTCTACTTATCTAGAAGACTAAAAAAGTACCAGTCAGTATATTTAGGATGTCTAGCTATTTTGGAATTTAAAAAGTCAGGTTTTTTTTCTTCTACATGTCATGTTTATGTTACCTCTATTACATCCCTTTTTATTGGGGAAAAAAAAAAACACAAAACTATTATATGAACTTGGGGTGGTACAAAAATTTACGGTTTCCAAAATAGTTCAGATAAAACTTTTTGGACAGTATAGGGGTTGAAACAAGGTCTCATTGTATAGTGCAGGTTGGCCTTGAACTTGAACACCCTTCTGCTGTTTCAGTCTCTCAAGTGCTGAAATACGGATGTCAGTGTGATTCAGTGGTAACTCAGTGGGTTTCGTAGAAGTCATCCATTGCCCAAAAGGCCAATCTGTGGTTGCCAGATAATTTCCTATACCTCAAGCACAGATTTGTCATACCCACATGCTTCCTGACCACTGTTTGCAGTTGTTAGAATACTATATTGCTTCAGGAATGAAATGGTTTTTGTTTTTTTCTCTTTGGGTTATTTAACTCTTAATAATTGAGTTATTATTTTGTACCTTTAGGCTTCACGAAAACCCCGTGAAGAACGAGATGTGTCTCAATGTGAAAGTGTTGCTTCCACTGTTTCTGCCCAAGAGGATGAAGATATTGAAGCCTCAAATGAAGAGGAAAATCCAGAAGATAGTGAAGGTATTTCAGAATTTTAAATTGTGTGTGACTTTTGTTACCTCAAATATGAAATTCTAGGTTAGTCTTTGATTATGTAGGAATTGCTTCACTGAGGAAATAGTGTATTAGTGCTTTTATGGCCTAGATTTGGAAACTATATTTATTCATTGGATCAACAAGTATTTATTTCTGTGTACTTAAGATTGTACAGGAAGTACAACCAGCAGAGCCTGACAGGGACCTTCCTTCTGCAGACACTTAACTTTGTGCTGCCTCTGTGTGTGCCTTTGCCAAATTTACTTACTCTGTTGTTAGCATAAGTTACTATTTTGTTGATTTTTCCTGCCTTGAGGTTGATTTATTTTATATTTTAAGGTTTACACATCACACTGAGCTTGTCATGTTATAAGTCTGGATGACATTTAGAACACCGAGCAGAAAAATCATCCACCTAAGAAATGAAGGGACAGTTGCTTAAACAGGTCGCCACAGCTTCCTGAAATGTGGAATTTGGATGTTTGCTAGTTATAGAAAAACAAAGGCATAAGTAATTTATTTCAGTTTATATTCACCAATTTGTCTAAATTTTCTTTGTAAACTGAGTGCTTCTGCTGTAAGGATTCTTAGAATATTGTTTGATATATGTACACTTCACTTCCTTTTTGTTTCATTGTCAATTAGATTTTTAGATTGTATATGATTAGAGTTATTTGCTGATTTCCTTGTTGGCTCCTGTATTTTATATAAGCTTAGGAAGCTCTGTATGCTACAGCTTAGTAATACTGATTCTGTTTATTTTTTTTTCTTTAAGTCATTATTGTCATTTAACCTTAAAATTGTAAATTTGAAATGTTTTTTGTGGGGAGGGTTGAGGTGGGTTGGCTTTTTAAGAAAGGGTTTCTCTATGTAATAACCCTGTCTGTCCTAGACTCACTTTTGTGTAGACCAGGCTGGCCTTGAACTCACAGAGATCTACCTGCCTCTGCCTCCTGACTCCTGGGATTATAGGCGTGCACCACCAAACCCAGCCTGGGAAGTATTTTACAGTACTGGAGCAAGTTAATCCTTAGACAAGACTGAGAATCAGAACTGAGATTGGTTTAGGGCAGCTTGATGAGTCCCTGCTACTTCTAAGGCTTAGAAGCATCAGTGCTCTTTAATGAGAACATTAGAACATCATTTCACAGCTGTTTATCTGTTGACTACTATTCCTTGTAGTTATTTATATGAATAGAACTTTTACTAATTTCACCTATTTCCAGTTACCATGGTTAAGAAATCGTAAATGTTAAATTTAATGAGTTGAGTGTTAGAAACCATTTCGATATAACTTTTATTAAGTTACAGTTTTTAAATCATTCTATTTTATTTCTTATTCTGCCTAATTTTTAAATTAAACTTTATTGTATTTATGAATGCATAGAAATGTATAGGAGAATACCAATATATACCAGAGTCAGCGTCACCTGAAGTTTCAGGATTCTGCTGGCAGTCTTGAATAGTACTCTCTGTGGATAAAGGACAGCTGTATTAATCTCTTTCGGCTACTATAGTAGAATAGTATGAATTGAGTGTGTTAAACTATAGAAATGTATTTTTACAATTCTGGAGGTTAGAAGTTCATAGTCAAGTGCTTGCCCCAGATGAGAGCTCTTCTTGGCTTATAGGCTGGCTCCCTGCTACCTTATTTTTCCCCCATGTGTGCACTGATGGTATCACAGTTTCTTAACGGCTTTATTTAACGTCAGTTGCCTCTGTAAAGCAGATGCAGTTACATGGAAGATTAGGAGCCCAGCATTGGACATGTGAAGGCAACATGATTTAATCCACAGTAAAGCCCAAGCCCAGTTTCATACATTTTTATCCATGGGCAAGGTAGAAGATCTCCACCATGCAAGGGCACAAAGTCAAAATAAGGTCCCCCTCTTTTTATTTTATTTTAGTTTTTGGCTAATCTTAGTGTAAAAGTTTGTTTTGTTTGTTTGTTTGTTTGTTTTTTAAGAAGGTAGTTTGAGTTTGGTCTGGTGTTCATGCTGTGGATATCCTGTGCTATCTACAGTAGTCTCCATATAATAGAAATCCACTTGTCCAAAGATTTCCAGGCTCTCTTCTTGCTTCTTTGTAGCGCAGCTTCTTTTTCAAAGTGTCCTAGAGAATAAAGTTACTGGATTTAACATGACCTATGACCTCATGATTTCTGATAACCCTAAAGAGGTCCCATGTATGCACTCCTTATTATATGGCACAGCTCTTATCAGTAAAGAACGAAGGCAGCTGATTATAGACAGGAGAATTCCTGTGTATCTTTTTCTAAAATGTCTAGCTGGGTATTTATTTAGGGTAAGAAGAGCTAAATCTAGAAAACTGAAATTTTACTAAAATCTGGGCTTGCTCTTAGATTCTTGTTCTAAGTCATTATGGGCTTGCCTGTTTATATCCTTATTTTTAGGAAAGAAAATTTGAGGGGACTGGAGAGATGGCTCAATGATTAAGAGCACTGACTATTCCGGAATACCCGAGTTCAATTACCAGCATCCACATGATAGCTCACAACTGTCTGTAATTCCAGTTCCAGGGGATCCAACACCTCACACAGACATTCATGCAGGCAAATAAAAATAAAAATAAATCAATCTTAATAAAAGAAAAGAAGGGAGAGATGATGGCTTAGAGGTTAAAAGCACTGGCTTTTCTTCCAAAGGTCCTGAGTTCAAGTATAGATGGCGGCTCACAACCATCTGTAATGAGATCTCATGCCCTCTTCTATTCTGTAGGTGTACACACAGGCAGGATACTGTATAAATTATAAATAGATTTTAAAAATAAAATAAAGTCTGTTTAACTGGTGCTTTGTGAAATACTAAGTAGTTTTCTGTGCTTTCGAAGAGGATGACTAAGAAAGGTTTGTTTGTTTGTTTGTTTGTTTTGTTTTGTTTTGTTTTGTCTTGTTTTGTTTTTGAGACTGGGCTTCTCTGTGTAGCCCTGGATGTCCTGGATTCACTTTGTAGACCAGGCTGGCCTCGAATTCACAGAGATCCACCTGCCGCTGCCTCCCTGAGTGCTGGGATCACAGGCATGCACTACTGTGCCCGGCTATATTGAGATCTTCTGATGTTTTTAGGATAAGTAATTTGTCAACTTTCCTCACTGTACACTAAAAAATAAAGATTATATCAAGCTTTCTGGTAGCTTTTTATCACTTTGTTATCTGACTTTTAGCAGTTGCTACCATTTAATAAGCTTTACTTGAACTCTTGGCTCATGCATCTACCCTTTAATAGTTTCACTGTTAGAGGCCACACTCGAGTTGATGTGTGCAGTGAATAAATAGTATAGCCCTATACAGGGTGTGTTTTCTCACTACCATTACCATTAGTTACTTGGCTAAAATTTTTTATACCCCATACAGTCCATCAACAAATAATGCCTGCTTTATTTTACATACATTCTGAATATCCTGTCATATCTCCTTATTTCCATTGTGGTTTCTCCTCTGTGTTATTTTCTTGCTTGGGCTCCTTAGTTTTTTTTTTTTTTTTTGTAGTTGTTGTTCCATTCTGGTTTTTTGTTTGTTCACTACCCAGCTGTAATGTTTATCTTTGTAAAATGTAAATCCAGCCATGTTTATTCTCTATTCCAAAGCCTGAAACACTTTTCCTTTTCCTCAAGAATGAAAGCCCAGGGCTGTTAACAGGAATTCACTGTTGTGCCTCTCTGAGCTTTTTGTTGATTACATTTTTGTTTGTTCTCTGCTTCAACCACACTGGTCTTCTGTTGAGCAAAAGAATTTTATTCTGAGCCTTGACACTTTGTGAGAACTGTACATGAATCGTCACAGACCTACCTAGGGTTCACTTTTTTCTTTCCTGTAGGCCTCTTTTCAGGACATCTCTTTATCCTTTTTAGTCCTCCCTCTTACTGCTTATGTAGTTTATATAGTCACTGTACCAATTATCACCTAATATATTTGAAATATTTATTATTCGGCAGGCTCCATAAGAATGTGTACTTTATAGGGCTTCAAATGATGGCTCAGTGGCTGAGAACACTTTCTGCTTTTACAGAAGAAGCAAGTTAGGTTCCCAGCACCAAATGGTGGCTCACAGTCATCACTAGTAACTCTAGTACCAGGGTTCTGATGCACTCTTTTGGCCTCCTGAGGCATGTGCTGCATGTATATCATAAACACAGGCAAAACACACATAAACATGAGGAAAAAATTTAGAAAGATAATTTGACTTATTTTCAATGCTGTGTATACCCCAGTACTTCAAACAGCTCTGTGTACATACATATTTGGATAGATGAAAAACTGAATTTCTAGTTTTAAAAATATTTTGCGTTAAAAATACTTATTCACAGATGGTCATATAATGTTCAATTTTCCATTCCAACAATATAACTTTGTCCTGGTTAGGGTTTCTATTGCTGTGATAAAAGGAGCTTGATGAGAAAAGGGTTTATTTCATCTTGTAACTCTCAGGTCACAGTCCATCACTGCAGGAAGTCAGGGCAGGATCTCAGGGTAGGGATCTGGAGGCAGGAACTGAAGCAGAGGCCCTGTAAGAGCGTGTACTGGCTGGCTCACGTTAAAGTCGGGAGTTTCTTCTGCTCCCTAAGACCTTATGAGCAGAGGTGGCACCACATTGAGTTGGTCACTCCATATCAGTCACCAATCAAGAAAAGACCTCCCAGGCATAGACATGGCCAGTCTGATGGTGGCAATTTGAACTACAATTTCAATTGTAGTTCTCTCTTCTCAGATAACTCTAGTTTGTGTCAAGTTGATAAAAAACAAAAGCCTCAAGCTGGACAAACTTAATGACATCAAAGTGAACCTGTTTTTCTAAAGATATTTCTTTGTTTTCAGAGCTGTTGTATATATTTTGTCTTATGTTAACTTTTTAACATTAAAATATCTTCCACCAGAATGTTGTCATTCATGGAATAGTTTTGTTATTCTTTCTTTCTTTGTCTTTAAAATAAACCATTTTTTTTAGACATCTAAAAGAGTTTTTACTTTCAATCTCAGAAGGTCAAGACAATTTGATCTTTCACTTTTATACCTTTAGAGCATGTTAGCAAGAAGCTGCTCTTCCCTGATGTCACCACAGGAGTCAAATTCATCCTAACAAGTGCTTTCAAGCATGGTTTCTGTCAGCACCTGAACCCTGTTGATTATCAGATTTTTATGCTGTATCATTATCTTTAAGGTGCTGACAATAGTTCTGATACAGAAAGTGCTCCCTCTCCTTCACCAGTTGAAGCTGCCAAGCCCAGTGACGACAGCAGTGAAAATGCTGCTTCTCGAGGAAACACCGAACCTGTGGCTGAGCTTGAAGCCACCACTGACCCTGCACCCTGTGCATCTCCCTCTTCAGCAGTTCCAAGCACAAAACCAGCTGAAAGTGAAAGTGTGAAGGCCCAGGTGACTGACGGCGCCACTGTGGGGACAGCAGAGCCGATGGATGTCGACCACGAGGAGTGCGGCGCCCAAGCCACTTCTGTTCTTGATCCACCAGCTGCTACCAAAGTCGACTCTGTGGACGCAGAAATGCGGGTGCCAGAAAACACTGCGCCTGAAGGTGAAGGCGATGCCAAAGAAAGAGACTTGGAGAGCAGCAGTGAGAAGACCGCAGCTCCAGATGAAGACTTGGTAGTAGCTGAGCAGATGAATATCCAGAGGCCTGAGCCACAGTCAGACAACGACTCCAGTGCCACATGCAGTGCTGATGAGGATGTTGATGGAGAGCCAGAGAGGCAGAGGTGAGACTTGACCTTGTTTCCTCTGCTGCTTGCTGGCTGACTGGCAGGACAGTTCTGGCCACAGAGATGGTTCCTGTAAGATACTGGCAAGCTCTAGCAGTCCATGGTTTTAATATTGAGCAGTTGTGCGTTTTTTGTTTTTATAAATGACACAAATGATAAATATGCTCTGTATCTGTATTCTTCCATGTAGTCCATGATAGTGGGGTGGTGTTATTGGGGGCTTGGTTTTTAGCCTACACAGTTGTGAATAAAAACCTCAGGCAAATTGTGGTGCCTGAGGTTGGCTCAAGTGGTAGGTGGTGAAGAATGGGAAAAGGAAAGGCATTGCCTTTAACTCTGGGTTTGTTTGAGTTGGTTTGACATCAAAACAAAGTTTGTCTAGCTCACTGTTGTAGGTTAAAGAGAATGGTATAAGGAGAAATGTCATTCTTGAAATGTTTTGAAAATGTTTTATTTATTTATTATTATTATTTTGGGGGCTTGGGCGGTAGGCTTTTTTTATGTAGCCCAGTATGAGCTGGTATGTAGCCCGGTCTGGCCTGTCTCCTAGTATCAGTATTGAAGACATGTCTGTGAGGATTTTCATTTTTCCATTATTTTTTTGTGCATTGCCTGGGATCAAAGCTGGGGCATTGCACGTGCAGTGCAAGCACTTTCACTGAGCCATAGGCAGCCCTGAGCATTCTGGAGATCATAACTTAGTACACTTTAGTAGACATTATATTGACTATTTTTGATATTGGTTATAATATTAAATTATTCAAATTTATGAAATAAAATACCAGATTATTTAGATTTTATTTGTGAGGCAGGAAGCATGAATATCCTGGTCACAAGACATGGTCATTGGCTTTGTCTTTTCACCATGTGGATTCCAAGGATCGAACTCTGTTCATTGCGCTTTCGACAGGTGCTTTTACCTGCTGAATCATCTCACCAGCCCACAAGTGAATTTATAACTATTTTCAGTCATTAAGGGCAAATTAATAATGAAAATGCATAGTAAGTATCAGGACTTTTATAAAGACATTTTACAGAAATAGTAATTTAAAATTTTTGATATTTGGGTGTTCCGTTTTCTTCTAAAAGAATGTAATCACCTGTAATCAGAGATGTTGGCTTTTTCCAGATTCCAAACGTGAATTAAGACTAAAACATAATTAGAAATTTGAGCACGTGTGGTCCTCCTCTGTAAAGCTTTTTTACTTTCAAAAAAGATTAAGATGAAAATTCTCATTGGAAGCCAGATCCTATTCAGAGCTCAGCTTTTGTGCACAATGTGTCCTGGTATCACTGTACACTTTTAAGTTTTAGTGCTCTCCATTAATGCTGATTAGTGGCTTCTCAATAAAGTTAGGTGCTAGAATTTTCACTAGGAAGCATTAAATAAAATGGGGATTTTTCTCTAACCATCCATTTGTTGGAAAATACGGTCATCTAGTTCATTCCATTTCTTTCATCTCATAATAGTGTACAATATATTTTAATTGTCCCAGCTTTTTGTTTTTATTTATTTTTTTATGTTTGTGTGTGTCCATGTCCCATATGGAGGTGAGAACAGCTTTCAGGAACTGATTCTCTCCTTTCACTATGTAGGCTCAAAGATTGACTTGAGGTTGTCTGTTTGGCAGCAAGCATCTTTGCCCTCTGAGTCATCTTGAGGCCTGGCTCCACTCTTTAGCTAGAGTAATATACATGGGATAAAGCGGTGTTCCCTTTTTAAAAGGCCTTTTTATCTGAAATAACAATTATCCATGTTTTGTGCTGTTAGGTTTGTTAACTGTATTTATACAAGAAGAAAAATTAGGATGGCAGTGACCTAAGAAAGTGAGCATTGTGAGACATAGCTATGACAGCAGTCACTCAGTATGGTTTGCAAGGTGCTTAGTGGCCAATCATGACATCCTTGGTTTGATCCCCAATACGACCACCACCAAAAATTTAGAAACTCCCTGGGAAAAGCAGAGTTACTCCAAAAGCATGGTGAATTTTGAATGAAAGCCTAAAATGTGTAGAACTTTTAAGATGTTAAAATATTTTCAGTTTTCTCTTTAATATCAGCTTTAAAAATATAATTTATAGTTTATTTTTCTTTATACATTCTTTTTACTTTGGTTTTTCAAGACAGGGTTTCTCTGTTAGTTGTGGCTGTCCTAGAAGTCACTCTGTAGACCAGGTTGTTCTGTCAAGCTCTCCCTAATCCTGCCTCTGCCTACCAAGCACCGGCATTAAAGGCGTGCGCCACCAGCATCCAGTCCACACATTAAAAACGTTTATCTCTGCCAGTGACCGTTTTAGCATTGAGACAGATGACCACAGCTGTAAAATAACATACCATTTTATTGTGTGCAAAATATAACAAGTTATTATATTGTACATCCTAGGCTTGTGTGGATATATTAGAGGCAAGTGAAGTAGGTGCTGACAGGGAGGGACTGAATGAGCAGTGTTACACATACCTGTGTGATCTGCTATGTGAGAACCTACGTAGTTTTCACTTCTTAATATTTTTCATTTAGGGTAAAATTCTCGAAATTTAAAAGGCAGATACTTCTACCCTGTGATCCCAGGAAAACATTCTATAATTGGGAACTAGTTTTTTGTTTAATTATTACAGCTACTTTGTGTGTGTGTATAGCAGTCATGCATAGCACAGTGCACATGTGTAGCCCAGAGGACAAACTTGTGAGAATTGGTTTTCTTATCATGTGTGTCCTGGGGATTGTCAGACTTGGTGACAAGTCATTGAGCCATCTCATTGGTCCAAGGAACTAGTTTTCAACATATGCTTGTATGTTAGTAAATTGATGCTAAACGTTCTTATGGATTTTGTTTTTTTTCTTTTTCTTTCTTGCTTGCTTTTCTTTTCTTTTTCTTCTCTTTTTTTTTTTTTTTTTTTTTTTGAGACAGGGTTTTGCAAACCATCCTGGCCTCAAGCTCACAGCAATCCGCCAGTCTCTGCCTCCCTGAGTGCTGGGATTACAAGCATGTACTATCACGCCTATCTTCTTAAGGGTTTTGTTAATATTTTTTTTTTTGTTGATTAAATGTATATAATTAAAATCAGATAAATATCAACTTGTAAATCAATATTAATTTCTTTTTCTGGAAAATTGGTGCTATAGGCCCTTATTTTTTGTGTGTGTGTATTCAAATATTTATTAGTTGTTGTACTAGGATTTGAACCTAAGGCCATGTTCATACTAGGCAGGTATTCTACTATTGACCTACACCCCAGACTTCTTCACATCTTATTAAAGCAGTGGCACACACACACGCACGGTCTCCCTCTCTCTTTCTCTCTGTCTCTCTCTTACTCACTCTTAAAATGAATTGCGGTGATTTTACATTTGAAGTTGCAAGTAAAATGATGTGTTTTTATCTTTTTGAAACCGTCAATTATAGAGTGTTTCCTATGGATGCAAAGCCTTCATTGTTAAATCCTACTGGATCTATACTAGTCTCATCCCCTATTAAGCCAAATCCGTTGGATCTGCCACAGCTTCAGCATCGAGCTGCTGTTATCCCACCAATGGTAAGTGTCGGAATCGTAGAGCCCTTCATGGTCTTAATTTATTCTCTCTTTTACTTGGCTCTTAGATTTCTGTAAATGTTGTGGTAAAAGGCAGGAAATGTGAAATTAACTCTTTTATTTTTGAGATTGTAATTTAATTACATTTTTCCCTTTCCTTTCTCCAAACTCTCCCATTTACCACCCCTCTCCTCTTTCCTTCAAATTTATAGCTTCTTTTTTATTCATTGTTATTATAATCGTATTCATATAACCTTTGGAATCTAATGGTTACCTGTATGTATGGTATCTGCGTTGACCATTTGGCACTGGACAAACAATTGGTGTGTTCTTCCCTGGGGAGGACTACCTAGTTTTTATTTGAAAGTTTCTTATGTATGTAATGAATTTTGGGCATTGAACCCATCATTACCCTGTTTCCTCCCATTCTGTCAGGTCCCTTTCCTGCCCTCTTGGGTTGTGTGTAGGGTCTTATTGAATCTAGTTAGAGTTGCTTGCATGGTTGTGGTTGGGGGTTTGCTTCCTGGAACATGGCTAGCCTCTGTGCATCTGCATTGAAGAAAGTGGCACTCACCTAGCAGCCATTAACAGGGAGGCAGGGAGCCTCATTAATTCATAGCTTATCAGTAATGGAGTTCTGACAGGCCTACACATTTGTTGAGTAACCACAGCTGCAGTGAAATCATGAGTGACAGCCATGTCACATGTCTAGAATACACCATTTCACAGTACTCAGCTCTCAGATTCTTCCCACATCTTCATTGTTGTTCCTGGAGCCTTGAATGAGGGGTTATAAGCTTCATTTAGGACCACACATTCAATGGTCCTCCTTCTCAGAACTCATTTTAGCCAGTTTCAGTAGTACAAAGTATTACTCACTGTGTTGGGAAACTCATCACCAAATCTTTGTCATCATCCAAATCTGAAACTCTGTACTAATTTAACACTTCTTTCTTTGTCGCGACAGCTCCCAACTATCTAGCCTCTAGTAACTATCATTGTCCTTTCTGTGTTTTAGGAATTTTCCTACATTGGCTATCAATGAACTTTTTTTTTTTTTATCTAAATCATATTTTTATTTCTTTTACAACTTGTAAAATGTGATCATTCAGTGATTTAACCAGTCTTTACTTCCAAGTAACTTCTTCCTTAGACCTCAGTTCCCTTTGAAAAAGCATGCTCTTATTCCGGAAGGCAGTCAGCTTTTCATCAACCCTCTTGTCTAGATAACATCCAAAGATAAAGCCCGCGGGGACAAGTATGTGAACCCAGTGGTCACAAATCAGCTGAAATGAGTTCATGATGACTGCAGCTTGGTGCAAGCGCGACCCCACCAATGAACTCTCTTTTTTCCCCAACCCTTTTATACCAAACGTGTGAGATTTTCTCCCACACCAGGTCTAAGTTATTGTCAGACACACTTACAAGGGCTTGTTTCCTTATTTCATATGCCAGTCATGCAAGTGTTGGGTTCCCAGGTTACTCACACTTGTGTTCAATTGAGGCTGCAAATCACAGGTTCCATTGATTCTTTCTGTCTCAAAGAGCCTAAGGAAGTACTTTCATTATTCCTTTTACAAAGTGTACAATGAAGAAACTTCCAAATTCAAAAGGTGCATATGTCAAGGTGTGTGGGAAAGCATGTAGAATTTCCTCCTCTGGGTCTGTACCTCCATGTGTTTTATAACATTAAAATACGTGTTGGACTAAATGATGTTATTTATTAGCCCTGTAATTGTTGTAGTAGTATTATTTTACCTACTATCACATTAAGAAGACACAGATAACCTGTTAAATTTTATAATTGCCTTATTTACCTTGGGCTGGGCAGATATTTCACCCACACTGTCTTAATAACCTCACCATCTACCTCCCAGCCCCATCCAGTGACATCGTCTTTAACCATTCCTGAGTTACCATCCATCCATAATCTTATAAATACTTGCTTTTATTCTTCATCTGGGCCTTTCCACGCCATTATTGGAGTTCTTCCTCCCAGCCTACGTTGTTCCTTCTCCACTGTAGTTACCTTCTTCCACCTTTCTTCCTGTCCACCATCTGTTTTCCCGTGGTGATTTTCCTGTTCCCAAAGGTTGGGAACCTTAGCCACACCCATCCCATTCTGCCCTGCCCAAGTTTTAGGCCTTTAATCAACTGATCAGAAATAATGGCTTAGTCAGGTTTAGAAAATAAGGATAGGCTATCCGGGCAGTAACCACATCTTGAGGGCCTAGTAATTAGAACCAAAATAAAAGCGTCAGACCAAACCCCAACATCCATGTATTTAACAATTTGAACTCTCTGAACCCTGCTGCTTTGGAAGTTTTGTTTGTTGAAGTTTCATGATGTAGGCATGATTGATTAAATCACTGACCGTTAGTGATAAGTCCATGAACTTCTACCCTCTTCTTCACCTTGAGGTTGGAGATAGGCCTGGATGGTCTGAGTACAGCTCAAAATTCCAGCCTCTCTATTCATGCCTTTGTCTTCTGGGCCACCAGCCAGTAGTCATCTCACTGACATTTTAAATATTTTTTTATAATTTTCTATTTTTATTTTTCTTGCGATATATCACAAGCCAGCCTTGAGTTGATGTTGTAGCCAAGGATAACCTTGAACTTCTTTCTGGTCCATTTGACTCTGCCTACTGAGTGCTGGGGATGCCCAGTTTATCCAGTGCTGGAGATCAAACTCAGGGTTTTGTGCATTCAAGACAAATATTTTACTGACTGAGTTATATCTCCAGCCCATAAACATACTCTTTTATTTAAGACAGAGTTGCTGTATAGTCCAGGTAGTTCTGGAACTCACTGTGTAGCCCAGGCTAACTGAACTCATGCTTTATTCTCCCAAAATGCTTAGTTTAGAAGTGACATCCTACCTTTGGCTTAAGAGTCTTAGTTCTGCACAGTCCAAGAATAGTACATGTTGACCAAGCACAGAGGCAGACTTTATTATACCACTGCACCTCTAAAAAATGGAGTTAACATAGTATTAGTCTGTATATGACTGCCTTCATTTATTGTTGTCCCAAGTATTATGAGTGTATTAGAGAAGCAGAAGTCTTTGGTAGAAATTTGAGACTCCATATAGGATGTAAGATTTCCGTTGAACCAAACTGTTTGGGTCTGTGGCTCAAGGAGGAAAAGCTGTGTTCACATGTAACGTAAAACATAAAGTCAGAAACTCATATTTGTCCACTCATGGTAGGACAAAATATATAGTAGGGCTTAGGGTGCAGATCATCTTAGATCTCTGTGGGCTTTTGTAGCTGTTTGTTGTTTATGAAGTATTTAATCATGAAGAAATAAGAAAACTATAGTTGCAAGTTGAGCAGGTTGTGTACCCCTGAAATCCTAGTATTCAAGAGGTTGAGGCAGGAGGATTACTCTAAGTTTTGGAATGGTCTGGACCATATAGTGAGGGCTACCTTGTCTCAAACAGAAACCAAGATAAAAACTGTAATTTCAGTGTGGGGCAAATGCTGTTTGCTATGAAAGAAATGACTAGTACTGAATGAATTGCAAATCAGAGTGTTTCCCCATGTTACAGTCTGTCTGGGTGAGTTAGTTTGGGGAGGGAAAGTTGGGGGAGATGGATATGCCAAGGATGATGGCCACATTTCTTGCTCAGGTCTTTTTCTAACAGGGGGAGTGCTAAGAGAGAACAACACATTGTTGAGTAGAAAGTTACTTTGAGCTATTCAACTGGACTCAAAAGTCGGTAGTTTATTATATAGAGTGTGGAACTTGTAGAATCTCTTGGAAAGAGAAGTTTCTGAGTTCCTGCCACATGGGGCATGTAAATCTAGAGAAGTGAGTGTGATTGGTGAGAGAGAAAAATGGGATGAGACCGAAAGACAGATCAATCATAAGGACTTGGATTAGACAAATGATCTTTAATTTCTGGATTTAGTATCTTTTGTCACAGCTTTCATGATTTCTCTTGTGACTTCAGTTCTGAAGTTTTGAAGAGTGCTTTAATTAAAACATGGTCAAATCAGTTTAGTCCCTAGCATTTCAGGAATAAGTATTACTTTTAGCAGTTGGCATATCAATGTGGTTTTTTTGTTTCCTTGTAGGTTTCTTGCACCCCATGTAGTATAACAATTGGAACTCCTGTAAGTGGCTATGCTCTTTACCAGCGGCACATTAAGGCCATGCACGAGTCAGCACTCCTGGAGGAACAGCGGCAGAGGCAAGAACAGATAGACTTGGAATGTAGAAACTCTACCAGCCCGTGTAGCACTTCCAAGAGTCCAAACAGGGAATGGGAAGGTAGGTAGTTGGAACCATCACTACAAAGGAAATCAAGCTAGGTAGTTAGTGTCTGTCCTTGTGCTTTGTTTGTGATTTCAATCACTTGATTACATCTTTCCAGACAGAAGAGTTCTTCCACTGATGCTGGTTATACTGCTAAATATTTGTGACTACCGAAAGATAGCAGTAACGCTGGTAATAGCATTCTAGCCAGTAACTTTTCTGAATTCATTCTTCCTCTGAAAGTATAAAACCATGTTTTATCCTCCATTACTCTGACTTCTCAAAGTAAAATCTGATTCTGTTATTGAAGCAAGTCAGCTGTGGCTGTGTGATGTTCTAACTGCTGTGACGGAGGCACCTTTTTATAATAGATAGTTCTTACCCTGACTGTCTTCAGCCTGTTAGCTGTGTGGTCATGGGCAAAGATATTTAGCCTTCCATAGCTTTAGTTTTCTCATCAATAAAGTGAATATAATAATAATACAGATGTATCTTTCTAGGGTTGTAAAGTTAAAGAATGAACAGTCAATATTATATAATACATGACTCAGCTTTTATGTATAGTGTAGACTGCTATAGAAGGAACAGTCACTCTTTATCATTCAGTTTCAAATGATATGTTTGAATTAATTCATCCCATTTCAGTTGCAGCATGATACATTCATTATGAGGAGTGATTTCTAAATTTTAATAATTTGCCTGATATGGAGCTGGGTGTAGTGGCGCACGCCTTTAATCCTGGCACTTGGGGGGCAAAGGCAAACGGATCTCCGTAAGTTCAAGGCCAGCCTGGTCTACTGAGTTTCAGGATAGCCAGGGCTATTAACACAGGAAAAAAAAAAAATCTGTCTTAAGAAACAATAATAAACAAACAAAAAACAAATTGGCACATGGTTGGTAGGATTTTCAAGTATGCTTAGAATGTATGAATACTAAATTTGTCTATGAAAGCTATGTATGCATATTAAAGGCTACTAATATAAAGGTGGGATTACAGAGTACTTAATCCTACTGACTCCTCACTCTGTGCCAGGAAAGTAATGAGTTATTAGCTACATAACATACTGTACCTGTTATAGTAGGCTTATTACATAAGTTTGTTGTTATCTTAAACAAGAATTGTTGTGGTTTTTTTTTTTTAATTATTATGTATGTGCTAAAGGAATGTGCATATGGAAGTTGGAGTTTATTCTCTCCACATTGGGATCTGCGGATCGAATTTAGGTCATCCGTTTTGCATGGCAAGCACTTTTACCTCCTGAGTCACCTTAACAGCCCTTAAACACAACTCTCATGGTAACAAATGTGTGAACTCTAGGAGCTTAATACTAAGGCATAGAAAGAATGCAGAGTAAATCTGTCTCCCTCTCTGCTAACAATTGAACCCAGTCCATGATGGGCAAGTGCCCTCCCACTAACTCACACCCCTCATCATAACTAAATGTTTCTTTTTTTTCTTTTCTTCTCATTCTTCCATTTTCTCTCCCTTCTCCTGCCATTTCTTGGCCCTAAATTTAGACTTCTCCTGCCTCAGCTTTTCACGTATATTAGGATATTAGGGTTTATGTCTTCAAATCTCTCCTAAGTGAATATTTCTTGAAAGGAAGTAGGTAGAAATTTTCATAACTTTTTTGGCTTTTACTAAATTGCATCTGAAGAATCTTTAATCCCTCACTATAAAGCCAATGTAGTGTGGGTACTTAGATGTTAAATGCTGAAGAAATGGATTAAATGATTCACCCCTGCCAGGACTTTGGTGACACACACCTTTAACCCCAGCACTCAGGAGGCAGAGGCAGGCAGATCCCTGAGTTCAAGGCGAGCCTGGTCTACAGAATGAGCTTCATGACCAGCTGGGTATGAGTTTATGTGTTTGCACATACATGGGGTGCATGTGTGTATGCCGATGTCGATGGTGGTACAGTGCCCAGATGCCCCTCAGTGGAGGAATGGACACAGAAATTGTGGTACTTTATACAGTGGAATACTACTCAGCAATTAAAAACAAGGAAGTCATGACATTTGCAGGCAAATGGTGGGAACTAGAAAAGATCATCCTGGGTGAGGTATCCCAGAAGCAGAAAGGCACACATGGTATATACTCATTTATAAGTGGATATTAGACATGTAATATAGGATAATCATACTAAAATCTGTACACCTAAAGAGGCTAAGCAAGACGGAGGACCCCAGGTAAGATGATCAGTCCTCATTCAGAAGGGCAAACGTGATGGACATCGGAAGAGGAAGAAAACAGGGAACAGGACAGGAGCCTACCACAGAGGTATCGAAGGAGATGCTGAGACTCATAGCCATACTTTGGGCAGAGTGCAGAGAATCTCATGAAAGAAGGGGGAGATGAAAGACCTGGAGGGGACAGGAGCTCCACAAGGAGAGCAACAGATCCAAAAAATCTGGGTACAGGGGTCTTTTCAGAAACTGATACTCCAACCAAGGACCATGCATGGAGATAACCTAGAACCCGTAGAACCCCTGCCATGTAGTCCATGGCAGGTCAGCCTCCAAGTGGCTTCCCTAGTACTGGAAACAGGGACCATCTCTGACTGTGAACTTTTTAAATGAGATTGGTACAGTTATTGTAGACATTCCTCCTTTTAAGTTATGCTTTTGTCTTCTATAGAAACGGTTTTTAAAAGGACCTTAAAGAATTATTTTCACCTGCTTTATTTGACCCTGCTTTATTGATAGCTGCCAGTGAAGAAGCCCGGGCTTGTCAAGTTAAAACTTTATAATGCAGCCGGCACATTATAGGCTCATGCCTATAATCCCAGGAGGCAGAGGCATGGGATCTCTGTGTGTTCAAGGCCAGCCTGGTCTGCAGAGTGAGTTCCAGGACAGCCAAGGGCTACACAGAGAAACCGTGTACCCCCTCTACCCCGCCAACTACAATACAGTTACGTCTTAGTTACTTTTCTGTTGCTGTGAAAAGACACCATAACCAAAGCAGCTCATGGAAGAAAAGAGTTTTGGGCACCTTAGAGTTTCAGAGGGTTAGAGTCCGTGACCATCATGTTGGGGAGCATAACCAAAGGCCGGGGGCAGAGAAGACGTTCTAATGCAAGCATAACAAAAATCTATCTATCCACTTAAAATAGGTTTTCTGTTTCTGTGCAACTAAAACTATTTTTTTGTGTTTGTTTTGTTTTTTTACTTCTCTACATACTGATTGAAATTGATGTGGTTAGAAGTATCTAATTTCTACCAGTTATAATTATTTAAAATGGTAAACCAGCCAGACTTTGAGCTTTTAATACAATAGTATGTTAAATCCTCTAGGAAAGAAGAAATGATATGCTTGTTTGTGTCCTTATACTGGCCAATCTTTTTGCTTCAGTCTCCTAAGTGTTTGGATTTTTGTTATGCAGTACCATGCCCTGTATGAGAGTCATTATTTTGATGGGTATCCCATAGTCATCAGACGTTCAATATGCATCTAATTCAAAGCCGCTTATAGTATGCTTTGGACGGGCATTTAAGTGTGATTCTTCGGAACCCCAATTTCCTCGTTTGAAAAATCCCATTACTCTCTTTGATTGTGAGAGCTAGGTGCGACAGTTTGTTATAGTATTAAATTATAGTTTCCCAGTGAGAAATCCAGGTACTTAGAGATTCATGAAGTGTAAAGAATAAAGCATGGAACTGCTTCTAATGCACTAAAGGGAACTGGCCCTGAATAGAAATTCCCCTCAGCTTATATAGGCCCGGGCCTCAAGTTACACTCTGAGCAGTTATACGTTGTTCTACAGAGACAGAAGTTCCAAGCGTTGGTTGTTTGGTTAAATGGGGAGATTTACAGTATAAAACATTGTCATAGTTTCCCCAAGACAGCTACTTTTCCTAGGTAGCTGTAAGGTCATTCTGCTGGCAGATCTCTCTTCATGATAAGAAAAATGGATTAACATTGCCAGCCAGGTCCTTCAAATTCATGGAAAGCATGGTGGGTTACATGTGAATATGAGTTGACTTTACAGTCATTGTTTCTGATTTTTAAAAATACCAAACTATATAAAAGAACTGTTTGGGTGCTAGTGATAATAAGTATTTGAAACCTTGACACTTCAGTGGGAGCTTCAAGATGGCCCACTGTTAACATAATATGGCAAGAAAATACACGTTTAGGTATTTTAAGGAAAAAGACAAATTGCTTTTTTTACATGGAAATAACCTATAGAAAATATAAAAGAAACTTGGGAGATGGTCCAGGGGCTTAGAGTGCCTCCCACCCCAGCAGGATGACCAACCATGTGACTCCAGTTTGATTCCTGGAAGCTGCCAACAGTCCTGTGGCCAGTAAAGATGGGAATCATTTGGAAGCCTGAAGGCCAGAGAGTCTCTAGAGTATGCAGCATGACAGGAAAAAAAGGTGGGCGGAGCCTTGTCCCAGGAAGGTGGAAGGCAAGGACTCCTGAAAACTGTCCTCTCACCTGTACATGCATTTTGTAACACCCATAAACACATGCTCAATTATAATAAAATTTTAAAAGTAAACATACAAAATTAACTGAAAATTACCAGGTGGTGGTACATGCCTTTAATCCCAACTCTAGCTAGGCAGAGGCAAGTGGATCTCTGTGAGTATAAGGCCAGCCTCATTTGCAGAGTGAGTTCTAGGACAGCCAGGGTTACACAGAGAAAACTTGTGTCAAACAGTAAACAAACAAGACTCCCCCAAAACATGAACAAAAACCAAAATTAACTCAAAATTATTTGTGCTAAAAGGAAAGTTTTCTTAGAAAAAGCTACTTTATAGAAAACCTTTTTAATATATATTATATTTTATAGAAAATCTTTTCTGTATATCTGAAGTGTTCACTTACATATATACGTCCATATAGGTGAAAGACATGATTTTCCCAGCAGGAGAACATGTAAGACCGAGGAATAGTTTTAACAAATTTGACAGATTATTTTTAATATAATATTAAAAGGATTCTCCTGTCCTTAATTTATTCATATGCATAATGCAATTCGAATGACTATTCCAGTGACATTTTGGGTAGGA